CACTAAATAAACTACTAATTAGCAGTAGAACTAGTTAAAAGAGTAACATAGATACGCCCTAGGCTGCTAGACTGCACAAGGATGTTAAAAACGCCCGCACTAACAGCGCTAGAGGTAGAGGAGGAAGGCTAGAGAGACATCTCTCTCTCTCTCTCTCTGTGTGTGTGTGTGTGTGTGTGTGTGCAGGCAGGAGTATCTGTTACTATTAGCACTATACAAAAAAAGAAAAGAGCTAAAGAATAGTACAGTAGGGCTTAGAGAGTAAAGAATAAAGAAGAGAAGGTAAAGAAAAAGAGGAGACCTTATTATATACACCTCCCTACGCACCTGCCTACGCAAAGATCTTACACTATTGTAGCATAAAACCTTGCATAAAATAGTTTATATACTACTAAATTACTTACAAAGTAAGCGCATAAAGGCTAAATAATAATAGCCTAAAACACTCTACACTATTTATAAAGCTATTTATATAGTGTAACTAGCCTATTTTAATGTACAGCATTACTAAGGTAAGTCCTAATAAATAGGGTAGAGTAAAGGCAGAATGTAATTAGATAGACTTATATAGATAGAAAAAAGGTAACGCGTACAAAAGGTAACTTTTTACATAAAAAGAAAAGTTGCTAGTGTTTATACATAGTAGTAGTGTTATAATCTAGATATAAGTAATTACGCATAAGCAGGACTATATATCTGTGTTATATAATGCTTATGTGTAAACCTTTATGCATAAACATTAAGATATCTTTTTTTTTCTTTATACAGAGGAAAGACAAGAGTAATAGAACTAAAAACATGTTACCCTTACTTTACCTACCTTATACGCTGTGCACACTGTACACCACTCTTACTCTTGCTACTTAAGTGCTTATACTATAAGCAGCTAGCTGTCAGAGCCCATTCAACACTAAGTGTAATATAGGCTATATTAGCATAAACTAGCTTAATATATTTATTAAGTATTACTTAAAGCTTAAAGTAACATTTAAGCGTAAGTATAACTATAAAAAAGGTTTTTATAAAAATTTTATAGTAATTTAAAGCTAGTTTAACTTATAAAGAATATTAAAGCTAAGTATAGTATTTAAAATAATAACATATATAACTTTAATAAGATAGAGTTTATAATAGGCTAGATATCTACTAGAGTAGTTGTTATAAGTTTAGAGAGATAAGAATAGCTAAAAGTAGTCTAGCTAGGTAACTAAGAGTAGACAACAGCTATCTAGGGCATTAATGCTAAAAAGTAAGCTATTCTGCTTTTTATTATTTTCTAAGGTAGCAACTACTTTTTAAACTAGTATAAAAAGAAAAATCTACTTTAAAATTAGGTTATTATAATCTCTAAGTGCAGCTAGACTACTAATTAGCTTAGTTTAGACTAGTTAAAGCACTTTAACATGTATATAAAGAAGTGTACTATTAGTAGCTACTATTTACTAGTTATTAACAGCTATAAAAGCTATAACTTACTTTATTTTTAGTAATACTATAAAAATAATAAGATTATTACTATTTACATGCTTTTTTACTAATTACACTTTTTTAGCTACTTAATGTAGGTTGTTTTACTTTTTTAAAAAAAATATAAGCACTAAGCTAAAAACTTTATACATAACTAGATTACTTATATTATAAAAATAGAGTTTCTGCTATGCTTTAAAGCAGTTTATAATGCTATAATTACTTTTAGTAATATATAAGAAAAGTTTTAAAGCGCTAGATTAGTTCTTTTTAACTTATAATAAGTTATAATAAGCCTTAATATAAAGTTGCGCACTTTATTACTTTTACTACTTATATATAATAAGCTCTAGCAGTTATAAACTCTAAGTAATACTCTAAAACTTAGGTTATAATTAATACTTATAAAAATAAAAAATTAAAAGCATATAAATAGTTTACTAACTTTTATAGTTAAAATATTTAAAAAGGTTTTAAAAAGAGTAGTAATAATTATATATAAGCTAGTATTAGTGTAATAAGAAATTACTAAGCTTTAAGTAGCTAATAAAGCTACTACATAATATAAATTACATAAAAAAAAGTAAATAAAGGTAGAAAAAACTTTAATAATTTAAAAAAGCTTACACTTAATAGCTTTAAAAGAGTTTAAAGCACATAGTAACAGGAAAAAAGTAAAGAAGTAGGTGTAAGCTAAAGTAGGTAAGCTATTCTAAAGGCGCTATAGATAGTGTAATTAGACTAGGCATAACACGCAAATGTGTAAGCAAGAAGCAGAAGTAGTATCTAAATAATATTCTAGGCTGTACTATACTATATAGTGCTAGAGCAGGTTGTTATAGGCTATAATAGAGTTTATTAGGGTAGGGTCTTAGCAAAAGTAAGCAACTTAGGTGTGTAAGCAACTTGCCTATAAAGTACATTATACTAACACTAGCTTATATGTAATTATTACTACCTTTTTTAAAACTTTTTTAAACACTTTAAAACTATAAAAATTAGTAAACTATTTATATACTTTTAAATCTTTATTTTTATAAGCATTAATTACAACCTAAGTTCTAGGGTATTACTTAGAGTTTATAACAACTAAGGCTTGTTGTATATAAGTAGTAGTAGTAATAAAGTGCACAACTTTATATTTAGGCTTATTATAACTTATTATAAGTTAAAAGAAACTAATCTAGCGCTTTAGAACTTTTTTTAAATATTACTAAAAGTAATTATAGCATTATAAGCTGCTTTAAAGCATAATAAAAACTTTATTTTTATAATATAAGTAATTTAGTTATACAGTCGCATGACAAAAGTCTGTGTACATCACTTTTTCCCCACCAAATCGCGACGCGAAAAAGAACTACCCGCATTTAATTTTATATGTAATTACATACTTTTTTTAATGTAAATAATTAAAATATATTTAATACTAAGTCTGCTAGCTATGCGCGAGTTGTACAGCCTTAACCCTCCTTAGCATTAACTAGATGAGTGTACAAATTAGTGAATTAGGTATTAGCTGCTACCCCTTCTTTAAAGCAGCACAAAAACAGTCCTAATCCTCTTCTAAATTGCCTAATTTGTTAAACTTAGGATAAAGCTTGTGTATAATCTTTTTAAGAGCCTACTAGAGGTGCTTAATAGGATTAAGGTCTAGTAAATATAGAGGCCACTCTAGGGTCTAAATTCTATGCTCTTTAAGAAAGATCTAAGTTACTTAGGCGTTGTAAATTAGCGCATTATCTTGCATAAAAATCTGCCTTAGTAGGTAGTTTAGCAGGAGACCTTTCTTAAGCGTTTCCGTGTATAAATTTGCAGAATACCCCCCGCGCTTGCTCTAGGGGTCTCTTAGCATGATCACTAATTCACTCTGCCCTACCCTCCTGTTACTAGTCACCTAGATGGCCCTCTATACTATCTAAGAGAGTTGTTTTAATTTCTTGTTTTCTTAAATTATCTCTTGTTGCTAGCGCTTCTTAGGGTATTAAAAACACTACTCTCTATTGCCTCCTAAGTTAACCTTAACTAAGCACTTATTAAAGAACTTAACAGTCCTTCTTTTCTAGTTAAAGTGGCAGTACGTCCTAGTAAATTAACACCTAATTTAGGTGTGCTTCTTTAGCAGTTTTAGTCTCTTGTTGTAACAGTGGTTTGTTAACCCTTGTTTTTTAAGAGCTTAGTACACAGTACGCTTAGATAGTAGGTGTGCACAGTCTATAAGGTAAGCTTCCTCTATAAGGCGATTATACTGGATTTTTAGGGTCTTTTAAACCTAGTGAAAAAGGAGGCAACTCTTATAAATATTAATCACATGTGGCTAGCCAGATCTTAGTAGTAAATAAGTGGTGTGGTGAGTTTTCTTGTCAGATTGAAGCACTGTTTCTGGGCTTCCTGAGATGAATGATGGGTTTGGATATGATGTATGGGATGATTGATTGATTGTATTGATTGTGTTGATTTATCGATCCTTTTTCTGCTCTACTCGTGTTGCTCGGCTTTTTGTTCTGCCGATCCGAGTCCCTCGCGCACTAGCCCTATGCGCGACCAGCTTGCAACATGCTGCAATTTGCTGCAAAATGCTGTAACATGCTGCAATTTGCTGCAATTTGCTGCAACATGCTGCAAAATGCTGCAATTTGCTGCAAAATGCTGTAACATGCTGCAATTTGCTGCAAAATGCTGTAACATGCTGCAATTTGCTGCAATTTGCTGCAACATGCTGTTCGAGCTTATTGCTCGTACTATGTAGCAGCTTTCGTCAAAACGTTCCTCCTGTCTTGACAGTAGGTGCGCATATCTGACAACTTCACGGGCGAGTTGCTTACACACCTAAGTTGCTTACTTTTGCTAAGACCCTACTAAACTACTTTTTCTACACTAATGCATTCCTAACAACACTACTTAGACCCGCTAAAAGAACGTTAGATACAGCTCATACTCTAAGCTTTTAAATAAAACATAAAACTTTTAAAGAAACATGCTGCAGCTATATAGAAAGTCTCTTAAAAGATAATAAATAACTATAGCACTAGATAACCTTTACAAGCTAATTCTATAGCTAACTTATAAAGGCTAGGCAATAAGAAGAAGTAGATAATTATTAAGACTATACTTAAGCTATATGCGCAAGGATTTTCCCCTTAGATAGCATTTATAGCTAATATAGCTAATTCTTTGCGCGCTAAGCGTAATCTAGGCTATGTTAGCATAAACTAGCCTAGTATATTTCTAAAGTGTTATTTAAAGCTTAAAGTAAAGTTTTAAGCATAAGTATAGTTAATAAATATTTAGCTTATAATAAAGCCTATTTTAATAAAGTTATATATGTTATTATCTTAAATGCTATACTCAGCTTTAATACTTTTTATAAGGCTAAACTTACTTTAAATTACTTTAAAATGCATAATTATAGGCTGTGCTTTCATAAACCCTTGTCAAGCGAAGCTTGTTGTTGGTGGCCAAAGCGTTCGCTCCTGCCAAGTTTTCACTCCAAGCAAATTTACACGTAGCAACTTCGAATTCTATTACCTCCAGCTTGCAACTCCAAGGTCTTCGCATAAATCAACAATTTCTGCTACTTCTCAGGATGGGACAGGGTTGGATGATCCTGGCTCTGAGGTTGAAGGAAGTTCTAAATGTTCGGGGCAAGCTTGGGGAGATTCTTTTCGACGGATCAGCTCGATCTCTCGTTATGCTTTTGGCCCAACCTGTTCCACCTCCTGGCTACATGTGAGTATTCAACCCCTTACTTAAGATTAAATTCACTTACGTCTCTCCAAGCCAGTCTACCGCGATGCACTCAAATACAGAGAATCTGGAATGTGGATATCTATCCATCAACACGGTACGTGAACGAGAACACAACTCGGATAAGCAATTCATCGGACAAAAAAAGGGCAGGATGCAAGACGATAGACGTCTTAACAATCGAGATGCATTTTCAGGTCTACCCGCAGAATTACTCGACCTAGTCTTTAATGACCTAAGCATTGAAGATGTCCTGACTCTCAGTCTCGTCAGCCGATACTTCTGGGGTGTTGGTGAGAAACATATCCAAACATACATTCTATCCCCCCTAGCACCTTGGGCAGGCGAGGCTATCGTCTGTGTGGGAGACGACATTGAGCAGGGAGATTATCCACCAGGAATGCTTACCGCAAAGGAAGAGAATGATCTTCATGAATACTTGCGCAACAAGAACCTGCCGACGAACCTTTCCTCATTTGTAGACCTGTGCGCCTGGATTCGGGGCGATGTCTCACCCTCGACCGCATTATTAGGGCAGCTTCGAGAGAGCGAACAATATCATTCAATGTCGGATTCGGATCGTTCCCAGCTACGTAACGCGGTTTGGCCTGACCTCTCCCAGTTGTACCCATATGATCAACCCTGGATTCTTCGAAATTTGACGATAAAGGCGTACGTTCGCTCCGAAGCGATTGCTTTGGAGCCGGCGCATATCCATGGACCCAATATAGACTTTATAGGCTTCGGAGAAGTCATACTCTCTCGAACATGTTGGTCAACGGACTCCTCTATCAGTATGGCATATGAGGGGAACATTCACAGGGGGATTTGGGCGGGACACTGCTTTGACATTACAACATTGGGAAGACACAGACAAGATGCCATTTGCGATGAATGGGAAGACGTCAGCGAGGAAGTCGCCAAGGAAATTGCGGGCATTTGGGAAAGCGAATATGGTAGTAATTGGCGTGACACCATCAGTCAACGGAAACACCCTCGTTACTATTACTAAGGGTGTGTGAATTGGAATGGTGGTACCGAGATGATTTCGCAGGTTCAAAAAATAAGTTTGAGTGATGAAATCAAGTTTACTAAGGGGGAAGCGACCGCGAATCGAGTACATGGCGCCGTCATCGCCCATAACTATATAAAGCCTATCTACAATGCGAACCTCCGAACCAGCCTTCTTGCGCGCTGGAAGACTGCATCAACGGATATGAGTCGCTATGCACACGGGCCAGTACATTACAATGCGATATCTCACTGAACAACTTCATGATGAACAAAGAAGTGACAACCCCTCCTAGCGCGCGTTCTTAATCGACCTTAACCTTGCGACCAACGAGCAGCGGGAGAAATCTTCTGGGGCTTGAGGGAAGCCCGACACACGAGCGCTGGTGGCAATTGGTACGTTTCTAGGCGACGAATAGCTACATTTATTCAGGCACGATCTGGAGTCATTCTTCTGGCTGTTATTCTAGATATGCACCCGCCACAGCGGATCGCCAAAGAAGGTAGTACCACGGTTCGACCAATGGGATTTTGCGGACATAAAGGAGCTAGCTACATTAAAATTGGGGATTATATATGACGATGCAGTCTTTTGCCAAACTGCCCAAGAATACTTCACGGAATACTATTAGTCATTGATCCCTTACGTTAGCAGATTGCGGGGGAAGGCATTCCGCAGTGGTAGGAGGTGGAGTGATCCAAATCTAAGGTTGTGCTTTGTGATGAAAGAGATGCGCCGGGCTCATCGACCGCCTCGGTCGTAATAGCGGCTAGATCCACATCCACATTGACCTTGGTGATAGACAACAGTAAGGACCACCTAAAATACTCTCTATCTTCCAAAAGCGTTCCTAACTCTCCTCAGCATAGCCACAAACCCTTGCAACCCTTTACCACGACTTAGCCAGCCCCTCGCCATATCTTCGTGTCCTGCCAACTCGCCCAGTCATGATCCACAGCAGCAGCATCAAGTTGATCGGGCACTTGCAACTCCCCCATAGAGTCTACAGGAAATACAACCAGTCCAGCCAGCCAAGCGCTGCGGACTCGCGTCTGCGTTAGTCCTTGAAAACAGCTTTTTGTAATCGGGTGACTATCCAGCCATGGGTAGCGGTAAGAAGATGTACACTGTACGGTTTGTTTATAGGCGTGCTTCGCAGAAATATCGAAATTATATTATGAACATGGAGGTCGCAGGAGTGCTATGAGTTAGGCACAGCCTCTTGTTTTGGTCCTATCAGTGTAAGGGGCGCTTGGATTTTATTTCATCTATCTAGCTGTTCAGAACTGAACCCGTTTCTTGGCCGGTAACTACGCACTAAACTACAGCAGCCCGAACAAATTCCAAGGGTGGTTGTGTTGCGAAAGCCCCAACCATGGTCTTTTCAATCCACGTATCCACACTGGCAAAAACATGGCGGAATCTACGATACAAAGTTGATGGATCCCGTCCGCTGAACTCACTCGGTATGATTTCCCCCATGTCGTTACTATATTACACCGCCCAATGCCTGATATCCATTATTCGTTCCCCTCCCGCCATCGCGAGTTATTGTTCATATTTGAAGCGGCCAACATCACTTAGGTTGTGGTAGCCCTACGCATAGAGAACGATTGCATTTTCGAGGACGGGCAAGGGTGGGAGAGACTACCAAGTCGATAAGCCATCTGAAGATAGCAGCGACGTCTGTTTAGGCTAAAGCCGGTTAGGGGAGCTGCTAGTAACTCTATAAGTAATACTTTGTTTGTTATTTCTACCAACATCTAAATAAGTAAGTTAGCTACTTAAGCTCGCTACTTTAAAAAAGTAAAATATCTATACTCTGTCTTATAAGCAAGCGAACTATCTAAGTAAGGAGACTAATAAACTCTACTAAAACGCCTACACAGTAAAAAAACGCAACACAATAATAATTTTATATACTAACGTGTTTCATAAGCAAGCAGACCACCTAAGCAGACGAGCAAACTCTACTACAACGCCTACGCAGTAACGTAGCGTAATGCTATACTAATTATCTATACTAGGGTAAACTATTACTAAGCTAGACAAACTACTAACCTAGATAAAATCTCTTCGCGTAACTAATGAAATAAAAACATAATTTTACTTATAGCTAAGAACCTAACTTATGTACAACATGCTTATATTTATATTTTTCCATGTATAAGTGTTGTGCCTTGTCTTCTTATAGCGCTGCTAACCTAGTAGAGCTAGTTAGTATAATTACTACTATAAGCTTTTTTTAATAATTAAAACACTGTCTATACTTTAGCAGCTATATATAATGCTTTTATACTATGCTTTATTATTTTACTTTACTTGTAACAGTGTGTTACGCTACATTCTAGAAGCTAGTTCTCTCTTCAAGCCTAGTGTCTTGCCTAGGCTTTAGTGTGACACAGTGCTTATTATTACATTTAGCAGAGGTATATTTTTTTTAAAGCAGCACCTTTACTTCTTAGTCTAATCTATTTAAGTTACATTACCTTTTGCTTGTAGGTTAAGCATGCTAATTGTAACAGTATTAAATCTTCTATTTTTTACAATTTTAATACTTTCTTAGTGTTGCTTCTTACTTTTTTTAGCTTTAAGCGTAGCTTTTTTAATAACGTACTTTACAGGCAAGTTGCTTACACACCTAAGTTACTTACTTTTACTAAGACCCTACTAAACTACTCTTTTTACACTAATGCATTTCTAACAACACTACTTAGATATGCTAAAAAAATATTAGATATAGCTTACACTCTAAGCTTTTAAATAAAATATAAAACTCTTAAAAAAATATACTGCAGCTGTATATAAAGTTCTTTAAAAGACAATAAATAACTATAGCACTAAATACCTTTTACAAGCTAATTCTACAGCTAACTTATAACACCTAAGTAATAAAAAAAAGTAGGTAATTATTAAGACTATACTTAAGCTGTATATGTAAGAATTTTCCTCTTAGATAGCATTTATAGCTAATATAGCTAATTTTTTACACGCTAAGTATAATCTAGGCTATGTTAGCATAAACTAGCCTAGTATGTTTAGAAAGTATTATCTAGACCTTAAAGTAATGTTTAAGTGTAGTATAACTATAAAAAAGCTTTTTATAAGAGTTCTAAAGTAATTTAAAGTAAGTTTAGCCTTATAGAGAATAGTAAAGCTAAGTATAACATTTAAAATAATAACATGTATAACTTTAGTAATATAGGCTTTATTATAGGCTAAATATTTATTAACTATACTTATGCTTAAAACTTTACTTTAAGTTTTAAATAACACTTTATAAACATACTAGGCTAGTTTATGCTAACATAGCCTAGATTATGCTTAGCGTGCAAAGAATTAGCTATATTAGCTATAAATGCTATCTAAGAAAAAAATCTTTGCATATATAGCTTAACTATAGTCTTAATAATTACCTACTCTTTTTATTACCTAGCTTTTATAAGTTAGCTGTAGAATTAGCTTATAAAGGTTATCTTATACTATAGTTATTTATTATTTTTTAAGAGACTTTATACATAGCTATAGCATATTTTTTTAAAAGTTTTATGTTTTATTTAAAAGGTTAAAGGGTAAGCTATATCTAATATTCTTTTAGCACATCTAAGTAGTATTGTTAGAAATGCATTAGTGTAGAAAAAGTAGTTTAGTAAAGTTTTAGCAAAAGTAAGCAACTTAGGTGTGTAAGCAACTCGCCTGTAAAGTATGTTAAACTATAAAAAGCTTTCTTAACCTAAAGCTAATAAAAATATAAAAATATAATATATAACCTGTAATTATAGTTTAAATTTATATAACATCTATATAGTTTTTAATTAACGTACATTACAGGCGAGTTACTTACACACCTAAGTTACTTACTTTTACTAAGACTCTACTAAACTACTTTTTTTACACTTATGCATTTCTAACACCACTACTTAGATATATTAAAAGAATGTTAAATATAGCTTATACTTTAGGCTTTTAAATAAAATGTAACACTTTTAAAATAATATACTACAGCTATGTATAAAGTCTTTTAAAAATAATAAATAACTAACATACTATATAAGCTAATTCTATAGCTAACTTATAAAAGCTAAGTAATAATAAAAAGTAGGTAATTATTAAGCACATACTTAAGCTATATGTATAAGAATTTTCCTCTTAGCTAGTAGCTATAGCTAATATAGCTAATTTTTTACACGCTAAGCATAAACTAGCTTATTATGTTGATAACGTGTTATTTAAAGCTTAAAGTAAAGTTTAAGTATAAGTATAACTATAAAACAGCTTTTTATAAAAATTTTAAAGTAATTTAAACCTAGTTTAGCCTGATAAAAAATATTAAAGCTAAGTATAGTGTTTAAGATAATAACACGTATAACTTTAATAAAATAGACTTTATAATAGGCTAGATATTTACTAACTATATATATACTTAAAACTTTACTTTAAGCTCTTAAAAACACTTTACAAACATACAAGGCTAGTTTATGCTAACATAGCCTAGATTATGCTTAGCGCGTAAAGAACTAGCTATATTAGCTATAAATGCCATTTAAGAGGAAAATCCTTGCGCATATAGCTTAAGTATAGTCTTAATAATTACCTACTTCTTATTATTACCTAGCCTTTATAAGTTAGCTATAGAATTAGCTTGTAAAAGTTGTCTAGTGCTATTGTCAGATATGCGCACCTACTGTCAAGACAGGAGGAACGCTTGACGAAAGCTGCTACATAGTACGAGCAATAAGCTCGAACAGTATGTTGCTGCATTTTGCAGCATGTTGCAGCAAATTGCAGCAAATTGCAGCATTTTGCAGCATTTTGCAGCATTTTGCAGCATTTTGCAGCATGTTGCAGCAAATTGCAGCATTTTGCAGCATTTTGCAGCATTTTGCAGCATGTTGCAGCAAATTGCAGCATTTTGCAGCATTTTGCAGCATGTTGCAGCAAATTGCAGCAAATTGCAGCATTTTGCAGCATTTTGCAGCATTTTGCAGCATTTTGCAGCA